AGCTCTTTTCGAGTCACCTGATGTGACTAAAGTTGGTGACAGTACCCGGCGTAGGCATCCCGCGTAGGCATAGGCATTTGCTTGAGAGGGGAGCCCAGGCTTCCATTGAAAGGGCGGACGCAACTTTACGAATGTGTTTCTGTTTGTGGGTGTTAGCAAGCCAAACTGCTGTTCCTCCATGTTTTGACATGGTGTGTCGCTGTTCACGCACATAGTTATGCGCCTTACACCTGTTTTAGGCGCCTCTAAGATTTGCAGTTTGGTGTGCAAACGTGACCGTCTCCAACTCAGTGTCCACATTGGTCATTTTTGTTCAGAACATCCTGCGTGCGACCGTTTGGTCGTCCTGGAGAAGGTGAGCCACATTGTCCTTTCACGTGGCTATCTTGCCCTCTGACTTTTTTGACATTTGGTCACATAAACCGTGAATCAAACATATAGAGTATGAACATGTTAGTGTGCAAATATATGACCAAATATCTTTTGCGAACCGCGCCATCCTGAATTTGGAGACCCGCACTGGAACTTGACCTCGAATTCAGTGACCGCAGCCCAACTCGACCGCGGTATTTGGCGAACTGCGGCATCCAGAACACAGAGACCCAGGTTCGAAGTTGACCATGTCAAACTCAGTGACCACAGTCGAACCGGACCATTCCGCAATCAGCGGCTCACACCTTGACAGTTTTTGCGGCTATTTGGCGTTCGATTTTTGTTGCCAGTGATACACTTCTTGATTTGTGGATGGTACACTCTTGATTTGTGCAGCCGTGCGCTTCTCGATTTGTGCACAGGTACGCTTCTCAATTTGTGCACAGGGACTCTTCTTGATTTGTGTTGGGTACAGTGCACAGGCACTCTTCGTGATTTGTGTTGGGTACACTCTTGATTTGTGCAGCGGTGCGCTTCTCTACAAGAATGCTACACCGCCCTGCCCATTCCCTTCCCCATTTCAATGTTGATGTGGGTGCCCACAGCGCAGCCGAGTAATTAGGTTAGGCCTCACAGTGAGAAGTGCATGCACGCCTGTCCACAGCTCTGTGTGTTCAAAACGGTTTCTTTGTGGGAACGCGCGCAGAGGCCGGACTGTAACGCCAAGCAATTGAAACGCGCGTGCCGTTTCCGTTTGTAATCAGGACATGCCTCCAAAGAGGAATCGCGTGGAGGCGGTCTAAGCTTTGTGTGGGGTGTCTTCTTGTTGCGCAAAATGTTGGTTCCTTGGTGAGGTCCTCGCGGAGGAGTTGAATGACTTGAAGCAACGACGGGCCGCGATGCGCGCGGCCAACCGTGCATTGGCAAAGCAGGAGAAGAATATGAAAAAACGACGTGCCCGCCTTGGACATCTTCGAAATTTGAATACAGTTGCTGCTGTTTCGCACTAGGCTGCCCGGCAACTCAGCCGTGACGACCTGTTACTCCTGGTGCACCAAGCGGGAGCAGGAGGCCAGGTGCCCGATGGACGGCCCAGCATTCACTCATGGGGCATTTGCGTCCGGAGGTGGTGGAGCTGCAGTGGTCGCAGCTGGTGGTGGAGATGGCGCGGAAAGTCTTCTGTGTGAAAAGATCCCCGGAATTGTGGCTGTCTATGCGCGTGTCACTCTCGGAGGTGGTGGAGCTGCGGTGGTAGCAGCTGGTGGTGGAGATGGCGCGGAAAGTCTTTTGCGTGAAAAGATCCCCGGAATTGTGGCTGTTTATGCGCGTGTCACTTTCACAGGTCATGGTGCTCCCCCTCCAAATCTGCCAGCTGGCGCTGCAGCTGGCGTTGCAGGGGAAGGTCTAGACTGTTTGTTTGCTTTCTGCGTGTGTGGAGCTCTTGGCAGACCAGGTGCGAATGATGTGGAGGAGGCTGATGCCATTTCATCTGAGAGTGATCGCGGCGAAGGCGCGCGGGTGGATGTGGTTTTGAGTGTGTTGCTCATGGCCGAAGTTTGCTCTAAATCAGTTCTCATTGGAGGCGGTGCTGCTGATGGTGATGGTGAGGAAGACTAGGTATCCTCAGGGCAGCTGCTCAGTTTGGAGACACGCTCCTGCGATTTTTGAAGGCGATCAGAAAAGTATGATGGGGTTGCTGGGCCAGTGATCCAGAGGCAAAGTTACGGACTTGGTTTCGGGGCTTTTGCTGACGCAGGAAAACTGGACACTCTAGGTGGGGCCTCCTCAGTAGCCTAGACCCACCAGCAGTCCCTCCGGGAGATCCAGGTCTGCTCTGGAGATGTCTTTGGCAGTTTCTTCTAGGTCACTAAGCCAAAGCCTCGGCCGTGTCGGAGAATGTGAAAGACTCCTGGTATTTCATTCGGCATAGTGGGGGCTCGCAGCCCAATGGGAGCTTTGAGTAGGTGGCAGCCGGGGAGTATGATGCCGCTTCGCTTGCTCGCAAGTCCTAGTCCGTGCAAGCTGTGTTAGTCTCTGCCTCTTTCCTACTTACTGGTCGAATGAAATATCTTTGGTGGTCCGGCTCTAAGTCAAAGGCTGTGAGCAGCTTGGTGATTGTTTGTGCACCACTGCAATCTTAAGGTGAGTGGTGAGAGCCAGCCAGGCAAGGAGAAAGGTCAGAGATCCAGTCTTGCCCGCTCCAAAGACACCTGCTGCTGCCAAGGTAGATCTGCCAGCTCTAGGGCCAGCGCAAGACTGGCGGCCATTGAAACAATGTGCCCATTATCTTGCCGAGCGGCAGTTCCCAGGGCAACAGCAAAGCTGGCTGCTTGGAGGCAGTATTGCATTGTATTGCCGGAGGTCAGCAGCTGGAAGAGGGCATGCAAGCTCTGCAAAAGGACTACCGTGCATTCTAGTTGATACGGAATGGGCACTTGCCCCAGAAAACCCACCACTGTGGGTTTGTGCTCTGCAGCCAAGCAGGCCATTTGCAAGAGGTGGTCGGCAGTGACCGTATCTCCTGCTTCCGCAATGGCCAACACTCGGAGCTTAGTTGCTCTTGGTTCTAGCACGCATAGGCTAGGTGGGAACGCCCATGGCGCTGGGCACGCTAGTCCGGTTTCGGTTGGCGTGGGCAGTGGCACGAAATCTTCCGGGAACGGTACTAAGGCAACATCCCATTGCCGAGGACTGCTCAGCCGACGAAGTTTCTCACTTGGCGATTCGTCCCCTTTTCGTTTTCGAGAGGGAGACACAAAAGCCAGCAAGAGCGCCAAGACTGAGTAGCATGCGCCGTGCTCCTCCAGAACGATTCGATAGGCCTTCCCAGCCTGCGAGCCCATATGCACTGTACTTGAGGGATGCTGGCGAGTTGTTCGAAATTGCAACTTTGGAAGTGCGCCGGGCAAAAGATAGCTGTTTGCGACCCCGAAGGAAAGCCATGCGATATTCACGCATGCCCTGCAATCCGGTGGCTGTGGGTGTGACATCCACGACTAGGCCAAACTTTCGCACAGTGGGGCTGCTCCACAGTTCTTGTCTTGTGGTGGCCTCATCGACAAAGGTGAGCTGCGGAAGAAAAATGACAAAGACTTCTCGGAACGGGATCGGCGCCAGTGGGTCTCGAGCCATCTCCGTCAGCCATTGAGCACGTGCACTTTGAGTACCTTTGCCAACACGAAAGTTTTTGAGCAGCAGCGCCTGTGCTTCTTCCATGGAGGCGATTGGCTGTCCTGCCACACAGCTTTGTGGTGGCACCAGCAATTCCTGGTCAGGACGATGGAGATTGGACACCAACAAGCTGATAGCTCCTTCCCAATCCTCGCTCGTCATGGCCGTTTCGAATCGAATCCAGGAGGCGAGGCGCATCGGAGCGGCAATTCGATCGCGGCGAGGGATAACATCCGGGTGCGTGAGCTTCAGTGTGGCGGTGAGACTAACTTTGCCCGCAGGGAGTTGGCACTGGAGCCAGTGCCAATAACAGTGCTTGTGCTGCCCATCCATCTTGCAGAGTCTGTTACATTCGTGATGTGCAAGGATCGTTGCAACATGTCGAGCTCGTTCTCTGTCGGCTTCCAGTCACACAGACAATCCTCAGCAGCATGGACAAGACAGTAGTTGCGCCTTTCAGGTTCTGCAGTGCTACGAGTGCTGCTAAGACACTCTTCGGCATCGCAATGGCGCCTAGGCGCGCTGTGATCTGACTGGCTGGCCAGAGGCAACGAATTGCTAAGGCAATCACTGCTCGCGTGTGGCTGCCGGCACTAAAACCATTCACGGTGAAATGGGGGGATCTGCTTGTTCAGTCGGCCGCAGACACCCAACCACTGCCAAGTGGGCAAGAAGTGGCTGGAGCGAAAGAAGCTTCCACCAAAGACCACTGAGAAAGGCCTGGTGCGGCAGCCGTCGATGAGCAGGGAGCAGCCTGGCTGCTTGCAACACATGCTGTGTTCGTTGGTACAGAAGGGCTGCCTTGCCATACCCTAGAGCTTCCCATTTCTGGCACGGATTCTGTGTGAGCGCAAAGAGGGTGGCGACTTCATGCACTCCGGTCGACCAGCCAAGGCAACTCCCACCCCCAGTGTCTTGTCCCCGGAGAAAAAGAGCAATTCCTGCAAGTCAATGGCGATTTGCTCCTTCAGCTCCGAGGCACGGTTATGCTCCTGGAAGGTATTGCACCACAGGTGTTTGAAGCTATATACCAACGTCAGCAGGGTGAAATACTCTGGGTCACTGTCCTATGGATGATTGCTCAACTTAATGGGTACTGGGTTGGCGGCACATCTCCACCACTGCCGTCAGTATTTCAAATCAACTGTGGTGGCCTGGGGGGTGGAGCCCTTGAAGGTGAGGTCCCCCCGCACTTCCATTGCACGTGTCCGCCGGTAGGAGAAAGTCAAGTCTATGTAATGCAACTTGCAATTCCTCGTGCGGACATGCTTCAATGTTTTTGTGGACTGCAACTACCCCTCGTTGTGGAAATCTGGATTTGAGTTCGCGGTGTGCGCCGTGACTTTGCAA